AAGAGCGTTATGAAAGTGGTTTTGATATATTTTGAGATAAAAAACTTGTTTGGTCAAATGATTTCAAAAATAATTTTGCAATACAGAAATTAGTAAAACCTGTTTGGATAGCCTAAATATATATTTGAACAGTAATTCAAAAATTTATAAAAAAAAATATAAAAAATTTATTTTTATATTGACAATTTCATAATATATATATATATATATATATATAATAAAGTAGCTTACAATTGCCACCACCGTCACTACCACCGCCACCCCTACCATTGCCATCATCACCACAGTCATTGCTACCTACCGCAACCATCACCGTCTCCTACCACCACTATCACTGTCGCGCATCATCTCTCACCTCTACTACAAACTGATACTTAAATTATTTTATTTTTTCTCTATGTTTTTGATTTAATTTTGGATATGAATACAAATATATTTATTGTTTACTACTTTTTATTACTCTATACCTTCAGACACAGACAATAACAAATATATATATATATATATATATACCCCTATCTAAATATCCAAAATTATTCTCCTTGTTTCCAAAATTTTCAAAGAAAACTCTGAAAACAAGTTATACTTGTTTTCTGTTTTTTTTTACTCAAGTCTCATTTTTTTCCAAAATTTAGAGAACAAACATGTTAAACAAACAGATTTTGAGTGTTTTTGAAACTCATAGAACAAAAAACTGTTTTGCACAAGCTAACCAACACACGCCCTTAATTTTTTCATTTTATTGAGAATTTATGTGGGCAAAATGTTTGCATTATATTTGATATATGGTATGCGTATGTGTTTTATATTTTAAATTGTAGATAATATGGTGTATAGAGTTTGACTTATGCACAAAAGACTAGATTATCGGATCCTTGTATAATATGAATATAGGTTCACAATCTTAAATAGAATTGGACACACCATCAGTATGATTGTAGTGTAATATTCTGACATAGTCTATTTTAACTATAGGAGACTATTTGCTGTCTTGAATTATTGCACTAGTACACTTTGAGTTTGTTTGGTTGCTGTATTAGAAATTGATGGATTAATATAATAATTCAGTCTAATACAATACAGATTGACAAAAGACAAGATTAAATAGGGTATTATAATAATATATAATTTTATCTACTGTTTGGCAATACACAACATAAATGTTGAATAATAATTATTTAATTTAATTGATTGTTTGATTAGGGAATTATTTCATCGTATTAGTATTAAATTAACAAAAATACTCTCTATCAGTGTTTGTTACATTGATAACAACTTGATTTTATCAGTTGTGGGTTATAATAGTAAATGTTTAAAATCATACGTTTGAGTTGGATTATAATACTAACTCTCTTAGTGGAATTAAAATACATTTATAATATATGTCTATCGTATAAAAAATATACAAGAAGTATACAATTAGTAGATATTTTTAAAATTAAAACGATATCAACTCCCGCCTTGGACGAGCACGGGCTTAGTCAAGTAGAACCGGGTTGCGCTGCTTGATGCCCCGATCGAAAACAAATTAGTGGGGCTATGCCGGTACGACTGAATATGCGTTAGAAATTTACTTACCAAATAAAGTATTAAGGTCGATTAATAAAAAATAGTATAATATAATATTTAATCCCCTCATAATACGTTTACCAAACGAGCCCTTTGTATATTAAACAAACTCATGTTGAGATTATTATCTTTTACTGATTGAATAAGATAATAAATACCTCATAATTATATATAATTTTTTATGTTTTTAATCCCGAGATATTTAATTGTCATGTGCATATAATAATTGTCATTTTAATTAATCAAATAGTGAGATTCATATCGAGTTAATAAGGTTAGTGAATTGAGAGATGATATTATTCGTATGGTAAAAATTAATTATTAAAAAAAAATCATGTCTTGGTATTTAATGGGTTGATGATGTCCTATTGAGGAAACTCGTAAGTTTTATCCATGTCAAACCCTACAAGTGGATTTAATTATTCGACATGACAAATAAATTGAGTGACAAGGTTTCAAGGAATAAAAGAAGTCAATTAAATATATTTATCAGTAATTTATTTAATTGATGGACATCTGTAATCTTAAACGTGAGGAGATTATTAAATATATAATAATAAGGAGTTCGAAACATAATTTTGAGATAAGGCTTAGGAGATCCATAATAAATTTTTAGTGGACTAACTTAATATTAATGAACTGGACGATGTTTATTCTGAGTTGAACATAAGAATCTTAAGTCTATTGGAAACTCGACCCTTATTTCTGTTTAGGGTTTCTGTTGTAACCTATATATAGATGTTTAAACTCTCTAAATCAGCATCATCTTGATTACTCAGGAGGTTGAGAGAGAGAGAGGGAGAGAGAGAGCAGAAGTTCAGAGGTCCTTGTAGCCTACACTGCATCTGGATTTTGGCATTGGGAGATATACGACAGAAGATCATGTGGTTCACCGAGCTACTTTCTGTGTCTTTCTTTAGATTTTGTATTCATGTTGAGGCAAGATCAATCCAAAGTGATCTTGAACGAAAACCTTAGTTTTGCTTTGCAGGGTTTTAAAAGAAAATTTTTTGTATTTGATATATACGCGTTATCAATGATTCTTGAGATTTTTGTTCCAACAAGTAGGCACTCCAGCTAAAAGATAAAGGGGAAGAGAAGAGAGTTAGGGCTTGTAGAAGAGGAAGGAATATGAAGAGGGATCAAAATACCGATGATGATAAAGACGAGGAGGACGAACAACTCCGTCGATGATGACCAACATTGACTAAGGCAATGAAGACCGGTGACTTAAAGTTGTTGATGAAGGTTACGTCTAGAACGGGGCTTAAGGGGAGAGAGGGAGCAAATATTGGGTTTGGGTGAGCTAATTTTTTTTTAATTGAAAGGAGTTGTCGGCTAAGTTAATGACATGACATGTCCAACTCATCTGCCACATCTGGGTGTCAATTTTTTTTGTCAAAAATGGTGTCTTAATAGCATTACTCTATTTAAATTGAAGGCAATAAAATTTAGCAACGAAGATGGATAGTGAAGGGTTAGAAATGATGAATGAGATTCATAATCACCAGTTGATAGAAAATTTGATGGGAAAGAGGTCCAGACCTTTCATCTCAGGGGAGTCTCAACCTCCTTATTAGTGAGAGAAGGAGTCAAAAGACTCCTCGGAAAGAGTCTTGTCGACATGAAAGACTGATCAGGGAGTTCAGACTAGAAATCTAACCTCCCAACAATTGATAATGGAGCTTAGAGTCCATTCTTCCATAGAAACTAAATGCGTGTTTGGTTAACTTCTGCAAAATAGTTTTTTCTTCTCAAAATTTCAAAAACACCCAAAACCTGTTTATTTGATATTTTGTTCTCTAAATTTTGGGGAAAAAAATGAAATTTGAGTCAAAGAAACAGAAAACAAGTGTAGCTTGTTTTCAGAGTTTTCTTTAAAAATTTTGAAAATAAGGAAAATAATTTTGGATGTTCAGATATGTATGTATATATATTATGAAATTATCAATATAAAAATAATTTTTTTATATTTTTTTATTAATGTTTAAATTACTGTTCAAATATATATTTAGGCTGTCTAAACAAGTTTTATTATTTTTTATATTGTAAAATTATTTTTGAAATCATCTAACCAAATAAGTTTTTTATCTCAAAAAATATCAAAACCACTTTGTTAAAACTCTTCTCAAAAACTATTTTTAAATATTATTTTTTGAATGCAAACCAAACAGGCCCTAATTTCTCAAACAATAAAAAGAACTCAAAAAACATGAAAGGTACACAACTCTTACCCCAATAGTCACTCTTCATTTTGTTCACTAGATTACGACTTAAGTATTGAAGGGTCAACGTCGATCCTCCGAGCTATTCCGTCCATGACTCTTTTTTTTTTTCCAAGATTTCCTCTACTGGGATTTATCATTTCCTGTAATTGCCTATCAACATTTCTATTTTCCTTTAGAGAGCTGACCTGAACCCTCTGAAGACTAAAGTGGACCCTTAGAGAATTAATTTGGAGGTCAACATAGTTTAATCAAACTTAGGTGGAGGTTGATGCAAATTTTACACCAACAAATGCTATTTTGTTAAAATAATTTATGTTCATAGGTATAAACATACTTAAGTTTGGAGTATTGGAACAAAACAAATAAAATATTGAAAAATATTACTTTGTAGTATCTTTTTTTTTTTTTTTTTTGGGTCATGTCCTTAGCAGTATCTTTATCTCTACCAATGACCTTCATTTGCTTAAATAGTTATAGATTATTATAGGATAATTACCCATGTTAATATTCAAATACTACTATCGTTGTATTGAATATGCAACTCCATCAATGAAAGTTTAAGTCCATTTCTTCTTTTTATGTCATCCACTCTAGGGAGTATAAAGTTATCTGCGGTGGACTTATGGACCTATGCTCTTTTTTTTTTTTGATGGCACTGGATATTTGTATCAGTATTAATATTTAATCGTGATCTTTTATATTTTAAATTTTTTTAAATTATACTTTAAAAGTATAGTATAAAAAGATAAAAGAATTGCAATGTAATTTAAAATTAAATATTTATTATTTTTTTGGCAAAATTTATTTGTGATATTTAACATGTTATCTTATTTCTAATTATTAATATGGTACTCAATTTTTAGTGATTTTAATAAAAATATTTGTACTCAATTACCTTAAAATGGAGCACATTATTAACTTTTTTGTTTAATTCTGAGTATAAAATAAAAATTTTAATTTTTTAAAGTACAAATTAAAAATGATCCTGTGACAATTGCCCTAATTAATAATAAAGCAAACGGTAGAGAATTGGGTTCAACGCATATAGGACGGTTAATCCGACGGCCTGGATTAGAACACGTTAACGATACCCTTTTTTCTCCACCATTCTGGAATTCTCTTCCCTCTATTATGACGCTCAAAAATACTGTCCAAACACTGTATTCCCTAAAACCCCTCCAAAAATCTCTGTTCGCCGGTATCCTTCTCCGGTCACTCCAATGGTAACCAATCATCTTTCTCTGACTCCCCCACTACTCTCTATAGCTCTATGTATATATCGCGCTCTCTCTCTAATTATCTTTCGTTACAGGAACAGTCTTCTAGCGAACAATCTCAATCTCAAAATCCGGTACCTGAAGAGTGCTTGAAGCTCTTGAAAGGAGAGAGAGACGAGCAGAAGCTCGCCGGTCTTTTTTTGGTGACCAAATTCTTCAATAAGGACGACAATACTTCTTTTAGCACGGTTTACGATGCGGTCGGTCCTCGATTCCTCGATCGACTGTTACGAACCGGTAATTCTGTTTTCCTAAATCATTATGTTCTATTTTCTCTGCTTTTAAGCAAATAACCAGAGTTGAATCCAAGTTTCTGATTACATAATCGAACAAACTCTGGATTTGGCCTAGCTGAAATGAGTTTTATTATTCCTATTTGGGAAAAAAATGATTTTCGACAGTCAGTGAGGTAGTCACACCTGGATGGATCATACCAATATTCCTGCTGCAACACCAAAGGGGGTGTTTGGATCGCCGTGGATGGATTGGGTTGGATTGAATTTGAATCCGAATCCAATTCAACCCAGTACAAAGTAGTCCGGGTTGATTCAATCCTAACATCTTTGGATGGAAAACATTTGTTTTGTGTGGCCCATTCACATGTGTAGATGGAAGTCCGTGAAATGACCATTGCATCATTTGTAAAGAAATCTAATCCAATGCTATACCAACTTTGGATTGGTTTGATGTCAATCCAAAATAAGGAAGATTAGGTACTTAGTTTTGAACAAAATTTTGATTTAATAAATTGCATTTTTTAACAACACAAAGCCGAAAATTTGTTTATAATTTTTTTAATTGAATTTTGTACAACACAATTCATCACTTTTGATATGCCTTGTGTATCAAAAGTAAATGTACAAGAGAAATGCATAATTGTAATCCGAAAATACTACTTATTGAGGCAAAAAAAACATAATAATAGCTAATGGCACATATTATACGCTAGTTTACCCTATAATTTGTCTTGTTATGACCCTCCCTAACAAAAAAAGACAATATGGATAAGATTTTAAATAGGACCTAAATACATATATATGCCTTGTACAAAGAGCATGCAAAATATAGGCAACAAAGAAAGTGATTAAATATCTGTTTGTTCTATAAGTGTAATTATATATATATACCAAAATGACTTGTGGATACAACCATAATTAGTGGATACCGTAATGAGTAAGGGTTAACTGCAACAAGTCAATCATCAATGACAATGACATCAACTTTTGGGCTAGAGAAAACTAATGGGCATGATCCAACACTGTCTGAAGGTTGGGTGCTTGATGAAGGAACATCATTTTGAAAATAACTTCGAAAAATTGGTAGCTCGAATAGGGATCTAGACAATACTCTGTACCAAAATGTACTTCCTGCATTGTGCAGTTACAAACAATTATAAATAAAATGTTTGATACTCAAATGAAAAAAAATGTAAATGTACTTTCGACTGAATTTAATGAACTACACTTACTTCCAAATATTCATTTGATCCCTCCATCGAACCTTTTATCACACATTTGGTTCGATTATCCTATGCAAAATTTCCTGTCTCCAACATCTCAGTAATGGTGAAATATTGACGTTCCCAAAAAAATATTATTTGTAAAAGCTCAATGAATGAGAGGCTAAATCGTGGCATACGCCTACATAGTACATCTAACAATCGATCGATCGTCTTCTTGTCATACCTCCCATAGGGAGGTAACAAATTGAGATTTTTGTAGTTAATCAATGTGTCAATTAGAACTTCTCTTTCATCATCATTGATGTTGGGTATCTTCATGCCCAAGTCACAAAATAAGAATTTCACATTAACTACTAAATACAGACGTTAGATTTATCAGCTCATCATATTGCTGAAGATGCTAAATTAAAACAAACATATGTAATTTCATTCTACCCATATGGACAATCATCCATTCTGTATTACAAATCAACTACATACCAACATATTTACATATTTTGTCATTTTAAATTGGTGAATAGAAATGACACAAGTACACAGGTAACATAAGCATAGCATTACAAAAAGCTTAACACTCATCCAACTTTATCCAACAAGTAGTACACAACATGGATGAGTATTTCACCCAAAATCAACATGATAACACTGATCATGCACCACATCATATCTTATTGATATCTATAGCCTAGCACGACGATAGGGGTGATACATTATCTTCAATTGCACGTTTTTCATTAATATTTTGTAATGTTGAATTGTCCTCCACTGTAACTTCATCACAAACTGCATCAATCGTTTCTGCTTCCATCCTCTCAAGGTGCATGCATAACGCATTGTCAGCCTCATTATAGGAATCATATGATTTGTATAGCGCAATAGGAAACCTATTAACATGTAAATGACACTCTTCTCATGAACGGTAAATTCCTACCTGTCGTTCAACAAATATAACATACCACTGTTCCCACATTTGCATTGTTACTGACATAGTAAATATTGGTTGTTAATACCAAAAGTACACAAAATGATATGCATGGTAGCCAAGAAATGTCGTATTACATAACCAAGAATTGCAAGTGAATAAGCATATACATCATTAAATTGGTACCCAAAAAATGCTTACATTTAAAATGTAATTGTGCATGCTCTAGTCATGCACAATTGATATCCAAAAAAAATGTAAGCACAATGAATCTTTAGCCTGTCACCTAAATGTGTCCTTACAACATATATATAATCCGTAATTCAAGTTCCAAACACAAATAAAGGATAGTGTTATAGGTGGTATGTCATGTGATACACCGATATCTTGATCAACTACGCGGTGTGTTCCACAAAATTCCTCTAATCCAAGAGTAGGATGCTCGTACTTAGGCAAGTTGAAGAAGATATCAACATTGACAGGGTTAGAACAAATTTGCTTATGTGCAGCATGTTGATCTACCATTGACAGACCGTTTATCTTCTCAAGTTTCGTGTTGACTTTCGTCCGTGCATCAATGACATCATGATTATACCTAACACGATGTGCTATCATGTTTAATTGATTGCGACAATCATGCACGTATCACCAAACACCTTGAAGATGTCAACCAAACTCTTTGCAATAGGCTCGGACACAGTACTAACTACCTTTGTTTTTTTTTTTTCCCCTTGTTGATGGAGTTCCAACACTGGTTTCAACGCAAACAGATTGTGAAGTTGGATTTGTCACACTATGTGATGCAGGGACATCATGGCCAAAATGGTCTGGTCCAACCATGTTATCGTCTTCTCTCATTGATGCTTCCACCTCATCATCACCGACTATGTTTTTGAAATCTACAACATACTCTCCTGTGGCATGGTCCTTACGAAAGATGAGTCCCCAATCTTTGAAGTAAGGCCATTACTTCTCCCCCATGCACTTAGCATTTTGATTCTTCTACACAATTACACATTTACTCTTTAAATTCCACAACATATATGTTCACTAAATGAAATATAATAAATACTTTGTAATATATCACCTTTATATAGTCATTCCAAATGTCATCACCATCAATAACAATTTTATTCTTGATTGAATTGAAACCAAATCTGGATGTGGCGAATAAAGAGTTANAATATAATAAATACTTTGTACTATATCACCTTTATATAGTCATTCCAAATGTCATCACCATCAATAACAATCTTATTCTCGGTTGAATTGATACCAAATCTGGATGTGGTGAATAAAGAGTTATAATTTTTTTTCAAATCTTCAGCTTTGACTTAATGTGTGGGGGGGATGCTCGCAATTCACAACTTGGAATTACAGTTCGCAAGCTATATTCCAATGCTTGAAGTTACCCTGGTCTTAAAGTGCCGTTTTGGCACTTCCAACCATTTACGCAAAGGTCCTTCATGGACGAGATGAGCTGAATTTCTTCAATTGTGGTCATGCCCTTCTTATACCCCTCTCTGACCGGGTACTTGCACTTGGTTCAGACGTACTATGGTGCACATATATAATGTTAAGCACAATAATTTGAGGAAATATGTGTACGTACGAACACAATATCATCATAAAATGTATTACAAAAAGAAATACAATTCGATATTTGCAGATTGGCCAACGAAACACAACAAAATAGAAATATTGTGTTTTAGTCCACTGCGATTCTGACATTTGTATAGTTTAATTATAAATAATTTTTTCTCAATTATATCTACAGGGGTAAATTGGATTTGTTGTATGATTTCTAATTTTTTCCTACCATTGGAATCACCTCCAATTGATCCAACCTCATTGTTTTTTCTTATCTGGAAGTTGCCTTTCTCCCAGCTATCTATATAAACCAACACCCCCTTAGTAACTTGAATTTTTATCCTTTACTAAATTTTTATTTTAGACATTATCCATACATGATACTATACACATGTTGATAAAATTTTATCGAATAACATATTTTTACAAAATTTTGTCTATATTTTTAAGAAAATAATGGATAAAAATTCCCTTCAAATAATTTATTTAATGAAATGAAGGAAAGAAACATGATGGTTTTTTGGGTAAGGAATTTTTTTACCCAAAATAAAAAATGATTTAAACTTTCACTTCTGACATCAAACTCACAAACAACAACTATAATGAAATACAATAGTCTTCAATAATAATCTTTTCCAGAAAAAGATGACAAAACTATTAAGCAAATCCCAGAGAAGAAGAATTATCAGCCATTTGTTCAACCTCAACAAGATTTTTAGGTTCTAATCATACATAAGTGCCAATAAAAGTCCCACTCGCACATCAAATTCCATCAAAATTGTTTACATTTGAATATGATTTCTCACTTCTATGCTAATATCGGCTCATAACATTGTTTCTGTGAATCCTCTAGAAGGCTACAACTAAGGTGTGACAATAACAAATTTCTGCATTGAAGCCAATAATGCTACAGATACTTGAATGTGTAAATGTCCTAATATTTTTGACACCATGGGTTCACAAAAAAAAATCTCAAAGTATAATAATAACTTAAAAGCATGTGTTTAAGAGCACTTATACATCTAGTACTAATGATGCTATAGAGACGTACAAACAACATGTATTTTACTTCCAAAATTCCTATATCAAAACACATGACAATCAGTCATTCTTAAGTTTGTCTTAGTACCAAACTAATGGTCTCACTGATGTAATGATGGGGGATTTTGCAAGAGGGAGCTGATCCACAGCGACGAGAGATAGAGATAGAGATCGAGATAGAGAGGGAGAGAGATTTGGTCTGTTTCTGGAAACAAAAAAAATAATCTGCACAATACTCTCGGCTTGAGCTTGCAAAGGGGATGAATCTTAAAAATAGAGGGTTTAGGCGACAACACTCGAGTTCCATACGACACACACAACATCAGACGAAATCAGCAGCGACAGAGACACAGACAAAACTATGGAGAGAGAAAAGATAAGATCAAATCAGATCTAGAGCTAAAGGGAGCAGATCCACATCGAGAGAGCAGATCCAGAACGATGGACACTAGATCCACAGTGACACACAACATATCGACAATGACTTGGAGAAAAGGTTAGATCTCATCGTTGGATCTGGTTGACCAACAAAAATTTGATTGGTAAGGATTTTTGTATGACATAGATAACAAAAGCCGAAGAAAAAAGGAGAGAGAGAGTAACAGTGGTCCACCATTGGTACTAGCCACACCAAGGATGCTTCCAAATTTCTACACATACCAAACACCTTACATACGCCAAGAGAGAGAGAGAGAGGGGGCAAACCTGGAGATGAGGGTGGACTTTGGCGCTGTTTACGGATGAGTGGGGGACCAGTGGGGGTGAAGTGTTGAAAAGTGAAAGTGAAAGTGACAGTGGATAAAAAAAACTCTAGAGAACTTACTTTCGAGGGTGTTTATGTAATTTCGNCCAGTGGGGGTGAAGTGTTGAAAAGTGAAAGTGAAAGTGACAGTGGATAAAAAAAACCCTAGAGAACTTACTTTCGAGGGTGTTTATGTAATTTTGCAACTAATCTTCTTCACTAAATTCTGAATTCCACCGTTCACATGGGTTACAAGTATCCGGCGTGGGAAGGATTATTGCCTTCCTATGGCCAATTTTTTCAATCCCAACAAAAATCCCATTCCATTTTTTTTACCCAAACAAAGGATATGTGGGCCCCTTTCACAATTTGACAATCCCCCCTTATCATGTGAAACAAACACCCTCGAAAGGGTTAGAAAGGGATAGGTCGGGGTCATAGAATGATGACCCCACTCAGGGTCAAGCGTTGATTGATGGCACCCCTTTGATATCACCTGATTGGTCCACGTGTGCAAAGGCCATGCCTCTCTGTCAATATGCATGCGGCTCTCTTCTGGTCCCCATGTTTCTGGGTCCCACTAACAACAGGGCCGCGTCTTCTAGCCTGAGAGCTTTCATTGTACCGGGTGTTCCAGAACCTGGCAAGAATAAGTACCCTTCTCGGGCTGTATGTGTTTGGGGGCGACTTTTAAGAGGTGGGCCCGGGATTTTGGTCCATGTGTCCGCTGGTTGGTCCGCTAAATTATGTTCCATCAGTAAAATTGTGTTTTAGTTTCATTTTGTTGATGATATTGCAAATTGCATGTTGTTTGTTGTTAGGAATGGGGAGTGGAAATATGAGTGGTGGTGAAGGTGGTACCAGGGAGGCGTATTTGCAGCTATCAGTTATGGTTCTCACGGCATTTTGTCGGGTTCCTGAGATCGCGTCTTCTGAAGATATGGTCTTGAAGATTCCTCTGATATTGGAAATTATGTCAACGGAGTAAGGTTTCTAATCAGAATGATGCTTCATTTTCTATTTTTTGAAGACTGCTTAACATTTAACAGTAATAAAGAAATTGCTTTACATTGGTGGATTGGAGTGCAGCTTGCACAGTGTACTGCAAAATGCAATAGAAATTTCCTGAATAGCACAAACTTTTACCTTGTGATATATTAAAGCAAAATTGTTAGTAGCCTAACATTCTTCAGCATCATACAATTGAAACTTCAATTTCTGCTTTAAGTTCTTAAAAAATTGAGTCACCTACAATCTTGAGCACCGATGGTTATAGTTAAAAGAGGAAAAAAGAAATTGAAGAAATCATCATTGCATCTTTAATGCTACTCTAGTTAACACTGGACCATACAGTGATTGGTTGACAATCGTAGGTAATGCTAGGTATACGAGAAGATGATGTGTCAATTCGTATGTTTCATTTGTTTTACTAGGAGTCCTTAGAAAATATGATGCTTGCTTGTTAGTTTCATGGATAATGAGTTGATTATGGGGGTACAAGGAAGCCGAAATGACAGAAGTGACATACCCACATGAGGATGTATCAATAAATTTTGACTTTGAGGAGACATAGTCCTGCATAGGTTATACTGGGAGATCAGGTGTTGCCTGGTCAATCCTAGGTAGTTTCAAGACTTTGTTGAGCCCCAACTAGCTTAGTGAAGATTGAAAAGGAATTGGATCATCTTGAATTGAAAATTTGGATTTTAGTATTATTATATTATTTAGGGAATATTTGTTTGACTAGGAAACTATTTTAGAGAGTTTGATTAGGAGATTTAGTCGTAGTTTTAGTACGAGAGTAATTTTTGTTTTAGTAGGAGATATAGCCTATAAATATTGATGTATCCCTAATATTTTCATTAGAGATTCCCCTCCTCTCCCTGTCCTACATCAATTAGCCAACGCTAGATGATATATATGATGTTCCAAGTGATTTGTAACCATCATGTAAGGCTGGCGAGTGAATGAGTGATATTGCTCTGTGCGTACTGCCTAATTGAGAAGTCTGCTTCTTTCTTTATGTTGGTGCATTAGTGATTGTAGATTTGCGTACATGGTTTCATCTAAATTGTGTTTAAGCACAAAAAAGTTGGCATTGTTTTTGCTTGGTTTTTGTACTCTAATGATATGCTTAAATGCACAGATCAGGCTCATCTGTTATTGAAGAATGCTATGAATTCTTAGTCCTGGTTTCTACTGCTTGTGAAGATGGAATCAAAACATTCTACGAGTCTGGAGGCATGAATATGCTAGCTTCCCAAATGTCCACTTTGCCAGACGGTATTCAATTTATTATTTTACTGGGAAATGTCAATTGTTTTGATGGAATTATGGCTATCTATCTAACAAATATTTGGCTATGCTTGTTTTTTATTTAACCTTTATTCTCATTGCATTTTATAGTCTTATTCAACTTTGTAGAATTCGAACTTGGGGGAATGGTAAATTTTGTGGGCATTGAGGCCCAAGTGAACTGCTTTTATCCTTCATTTAGAGTAATTAGCACCATGCTTACCTGACATTACTCCAGCATAGCTAGACATATGTGGATAAGTGGGCTAAGGATTATATAACAGTGGTTCTACATGCTTGAAACTTGAGTTATTCAATTTTGGTGTAGGTTCTCACACAGTACAGCTTGCCATAAGACTTGTTCAATTGATGATAAGCAAGCTGTCCCTGGACAGCATCTGTAATGAAAACGCTTCAGAGCTGTCAATAATGGTGAGCCTACATGTTACAGAGCTTTGAGCTCATCTGTATTTTTTGACTTCAGTAGCTTTTGAATGTTTAGATATTTATCTCCATAGTGAAGAAGGTTTGAATGTGTTCTATTATTGCAGGTGGCTACAATGGCAAAGCATTTTGCTGTATTGCACAATGCCCTGAAATTTGAAGTGCTCCACCTACTGTCTGCAATCCTGTCACATTATGATGTATGCAAGCATTCTTTTATTACATATTTTGACAAGAATCGATTTATAATTTTTGTTGTTATGTCTTCTCATAGAAAACTTATTTATCCATTTCTGTGATCACTTCAGTAAATTCTTTCCTACTTTCAAATAAACTTTTTTCTCCAGTATTTAGAATGACTGATTGTTGAATTTTAATTTGGATAACATTGAGAGCTAGTTCATAATTAGAGCAATTTTCTAAGGATAATACGTATAAAGGATAAGTTCCTGATGAAGGTGTCATGAAGACTTTAAAATTGATTTCAAGGAAGAATTAAAGCACCTGGTGAACCTAAGATTCAAAAGTTCAAGTGATATTTGTTACTGATAGAATATTTTAAGACCGGCACATTTCTACATAATGTTGAGAAGCTACTGGTCCTTAATGCAGAGGTATTTAAATTTTATGTGATTGGCTTAATGACTTGGATTTGGATTTACCAATCTTCTATGGACTTCGTTTTTGGACTGATGGTGGACTTCAGAGATTGATGAACAATGTTGTGTGGCTTGTAAGTCTTAGGGATTTTGAGAGAATAGGATCTTGGTTGGAATGATTGACAGATTGTTGTTACAAATAAATAACCCATTGATGCGTAGTGTTAGCTACACAAAAGAGCATAGAACTGCTATATTTGTGTAATTCACATTTACTCTTATATTCTTATTAGTTGACGCCAAATTAGAGGGCTTGGATAGTTAATTTTCGGCTGCAAAATTTCATTGGCCTGCAAATAATTGTCATAAATTCTTTGGAATTCTTTGAATGATATAATTTTTGGATGTAAGCAAATGTAGATGTATAGTTGTCATCTTGTAAGACTATTCTATTTTTTTTACGTTATCTTGCTCATAGCAAAAGAGTCATTTGTCATTGAAATTAATTGGTTCATAGGTAGTACTCTCAATAATTGTGTAGTTACGTATATTCTCAATTCATGGGTTTTTATTGATGTATAGGGAAACGTGATGTGCGGTGGTTCATCCCTCCCGATAGACACGTGGGATTATTGACACAACCTTTAGGGGGAGCGGGTGAATAGGTAGGGGTGCAACTCGGGCGGGTTGGACAGTCAACTCTAGCCCAACCCTAGATATATAATCTTCAACCCTAATCCTACCTCGGGTTGAGAAACTCAACCCGAGCACTGCCTGAGTTTAATTCGGGTGGGTTTGGGTTGAATTTGGGTTAATGATTTCGGGTTTATTTTGGGTTACTTTACGGGTTTAATTCGGGTTGAGTTCGGGTAGAGCCCAAAATAAGTTTCTTGTTCTAAACCTAATACATATATTACATAATATTCACCTAAATTAACAACTAATAACTTTAACCAAGTTTTTAACAGTGCTAATGTTAGAACAAAATTGAAAATGAACGAGAGAGACAGAGAATGATAGAACAAAAATAAAAAATCAGTGCTAATGCTTTATATATATATAATTTTTTTTTTTAATTTGTCGGGTTCGAGTTGAACCCGAGGCCTTAACTCGAGCCCAACCCGAATTTTTTTGGGTTGGGCTCGGGTTGAAATCGGGTTGCCCAACCCAAGTTGCACTCCTTTGAATATGTTAATCCAATTTTAGTTAGAACAACCACCAATTTTAATCTAACCCACCTTTATTACCAAATCTAAGATGGATTTTTCAATCATACGTTTGAACCCTTTTTACAAACCCTTAAATCCCATCTTGTGAGTCAATGTAGTGTTATGTCAATTAATTGATTAACATTCAATCTCACAACAACAATCCCAACCAAGGCAACAACTCACAAAACCATTTTTCAATGAATTGAATGATTAACAATCAAACTATCACACATATAGTGTGCATGTGTGCAAAAGTACAAGTGTATAAACAAATTAAAGCAAATAAAGAACACGAGCAATTTGTTGATGTGGAAACTCTTCTAGGGAAAAATCGTAGGGAACCACTCAGGATTCATCAAAGTATAATCTATTAGCTCAAAGTCAATCTATAAGTACTCGAAACTTATACCTTAACCAATACAGTGGTTATATGTTTTTTTCCTTCAATAAATCTCTTTTTCGGATTTTTTCACCAGACAGTTGCACTTGAACTTGAACACTTCCACTAGAATGGATCGTTTAGTTTGTTTGAGCAACTTGCACCGCCAAGATCCTTGGGATATACGCTCTTTCAATGAGTTTTGTGATTCCAAACAAGAACTTCTTCTTCAATGTGTGATGTAATGTTGAAAAAAGATTCAAGATGGATACCTTAGTTCTCTTAGGGATCTAGGGTTTATGGATGATCACTAAAGGTTTAGGGATAGAAAATAAGCTTATTAAAGAGATATCCTAACTTTAGAAGGCTTTCCCTTGTTATAGACTTGGAATTAGGTCAGACTTGGGAAAAAGTAAATCAAAATTTGTGAACGGCCGTTCGAGCAGTGTGAGGGTAGTTGTCATTGAAATGAGAAAACGAATCAAACCAGTCTGGTAAGTCAGAGACTGCAAGAGTGGCCTAAGAGCGACCCAAAGTCTCTACTGCCCAACTTGACAGCCTTTTTGATTTTCACCTTAAGTCATCGGGGACCGTTCTAGCTGAAGGTAAGCGAGAAGAGAGTGGTCCTTACTGGTTTTAAAGCCAAAAACAAAGCAAAAACTTGTCTTTTGGAACATTAAAAGGTGTTGCTCATGTAGGGTCCGATAAATGACTCAAACTTTTTTTTCAAAACACATTTAAGCATTAAAACAATATTTTTAATAAAAAACCTAGGAATCATTTTTGTATATTCCAAATTCTATTTTGTTCACCTTAATCATCCTAAGTCTAAAATTAAACCAAGAGATCTAGGTCTCTAAGGTCATTACCTTTGTCATAAGCTTGAAGGTGAATCAGATTAATCTTGATATAATGTTGTAGCTTGATCTCTTTCCCTTCCTTGTTGCTTATGGATTTTGATCTTTGAAACTTGATAATTATGAGATTCGATTGATATCTTGGTTATCAGGTTTGACTTTATTCACCATTTCTAGTGAACATTTCTTGTAATATGGTTGGTAAAGTTTCATTTTCCCTTGACTCTGTAATTTAATACATTTTGGTATATTCTTTATATTTGAATTCTGTATTCCTTCCTTATTTTGTGTTGTTTTTTTTTTACCCCATTGTTCAAGATTGAAACAAGACTTAACTATGGGATTTTATGAAAGATTCCCTAGGCTTCAAGTCCATGTTCAGTTACCATCTAGTGTGAATCTCACTGTGACATGTTTTTATTATTTGCAGGCACCTCTGCATGATGCTCTTCGTTTAATGAAGAATGACGTTTGGTCAGCTTACATACGTGTTGGTGTCACCGACATTTTACAGAATCGGGTTGGTACGTACTCGTATTCACACACACACACACGCACTCATACATATGTTTTTAAGAATTAAAATTTAAAGTTCCTTTAGTCACTATTAGGAAGACAAACATGTCCTGTTGTACACGAATATCACTAATTATGTGGATAGCATTAGTTTGGAATAACTACGGTATCTGTGTGTGTGCTCTCTATGCATGTGTTTTGGACAGTGTCTATGGGTTGATTGCTATGTTAATTTTGATGTAGACTATTGCTAGAAGCCCGTACTAATTCCTTTTGTATATTCTAAATCAAAAGGCCACATTTTCAACAATTTTGGTTTGGTTGAATGAAACCTTCTTGCAATAGATCCATTTCTTTTGTTAAAATTTTTGCCATCATCTTTTTCCTGGTTCTGTCTTAGACTGATTTCCTTCACCTGGTCATCAGTTTTTGCCTTTCATATCTCCTTACAAAACATTTCTTACACAATCATTTATTTTTTCTTATATCTCCATTCTTCTATTCTAATGTATTTTTGCATCTTTTATGCTTGTATTTCCATTTTATCGTTGCAATAATATTTGTTTTTGTTGTCCATCGCATTTTCATTGATGAGAATTGGCTTGCTCTATGTTTTGAGAGCTTTCTTTAGCTATGGGAACCTCTGAATAAATTGTAAAGCAGCATATGCCTTTCAACCAGGCAAGTGCTTTGCAACACCACGTGTTAGGTGTTCAATTCAATAATCTTGTGGATCAAGGATCAAAATTTTGTTTCGGTGCATTGTTTCGGTCACTTAAGAAACGGAAACGTTTCGGAAACATAATTGAAAAAATAAAAAATTTAAGAATTATTTTTCTAAAGCATTGGTCAAAATATATTAAAAGTATTTTGAAATATCTTGAAACATTCCAAAATAATTGTACAAATGTATTAAAATATTTCAAAATATCTCGAAACATTATAAAACACCTCGAAGTATTATAATTTTGATTTCATTACTGATTCGTTTTGGTCGCCTTGGAAATAGAAATGTTTTGAGACGAAATTTTGATCCTTACAGTGGATACCCTATTGTGACGGCCTTACATAATTTGCATACAACATTTTAAAATCAAGAAGATTTAATTTATGATATTTTAGCTCTATAAAGGCTTCACTTGGAAAACCGTCTTAGTGTTTCAAAGGTAGATAAAATATCACTTAAGTGAAACTCTAGTGACTCTTGGAGCTAGGACATTTGTAAAAGTTACGGTCGTGATCATGTTGCCATCATTTGATCGGATTACTCTAACCCTCAATTTGAGCCGAAGTTAGGCTTCTGTATCCATGCAAAAGGATTTCGTACAATTTGAATTTGTACCCAATATTAGGAAATATTTAAACTGGTTCATTGTAGTTAATATTTGGCTTTAGAGGTTGGAATGTAGCTTGGTTTTGGGGTTTTGATTAATTTTTATTTGGGTCATGTCCAGAAGTTGTGATTATCTCTGTTGTCATTGAAATTGGAATTTTTTTTTTAAAAAAATATTTCTGTAGTCATTTTGCTGTGTCTCCTCCCTCAATCTGGTTTTGGTAAACTACGCTTGGCTATGTTTGCCCTAAGTCTTCTTTTAAACCATTGCAACAACTCTTCTCATGATAATTACTTCCTATAAACCCCCTTTTTTTTCCTCATGCATATTAATGTTATGTTCTGTATTCTTCTTAGTTTCAAATGTCCTGCATCCGGAAGTCTTTAATCAAGGGGTTACTATCTTGATATGTGGAAGGGTTTATCTTTGCTATGTGGAAAGAGGAATGATGCAGCTTAAATGTTTGCAGTGGACAATCATATATAGTGAAAATTGGCATTTTGGGGGTGATTAAAGATAAAAATTAGGTGAATTATGTTTGTTTGCATTACAAAAACTACTTAAAAGGTTACCTCCTCCTACTTGGAGGGTTGAACCTCTCTCACTTTGTCTAGCTTGCCTTGGCAAAGGAATGGTGATGGTGTTTCAATCTAACATCAGGGAAGAGTTAGGAGCTTTGTTTATGTTTTATTGTTTTGTATTGTAATTTCCAATCTTACTTGCAGGAATGAACATCACCCACTTTTCTAAGTTGTCTAAGACTATGAAGAGTAGTTAGTTTTTCATTAGCTCTTTAGTGAATCAGGACAGACTTGTGCAATATTGCTCGAGTTATGATAGTTGCATTTTCAGTTTATGCTTTATTATGTACCTCCCTACTACTCTCTCTTACCTTGCTGGTCCAGAGACTGATAAATCAGTCTTACTCTGGTAGCTTGATATGTGACATGAGAATATATTGTGACTAATGTATGTTAGTTATTGTTAAGTGGTCCCTTATGGAGTGCAATTTACATGATTATCATTATTCGTTTCCTGAGATGGGACATATTGAGCATAGAATTTAGCTACACTTTAATTTTTCCTTGATGATACCCTCGTCTACGTTATATTTCTACTTCCCGTCCATGAAGATTCTGGATGAAGCATGCTGACCCAATTTATCTCGTTTGATGTGCAGCACCCGCTGCCAAACTTCAGGCTCTTATTTTGGCGGAGTCTGTCATTTCTACTGTTGGTGAGGAGTGGCTTATTGGACAGATGAACTTACCTGATTTGCAAGACCGTGTTCCAGCTGACAGGTTGCATTCTGTGGTATTGTTTTCATGTTTTTTCTCCTTTTTGATTTGTTTTTATAGTTTGAAACTTCATTGGTTCAGTTTCCCGTGTCTTTCTTCAGGTGTATATTGCTTGTTTTGGAGTCATCTAGGGTTGAAATTGCTGTTCTTCTTAATGAGATAGCCTACTTGAAATATGAAGTTTCCAAGAATTCATCGTCCAATGACAAGAACATTCTTTTAAAGCAAAGGAATCTTGGTGTTTGCTTTTCTTTGGTGGAAAAGATAATAAAACTAATTTCAAAAGTTGGTGAAGACAAAGGTATGCAATCTTCCCTAATTTAGCTGGCATGCAAGTTCCATGCTCTTTTATCTTGTCCGAAAGATTGTCAAAAATATAAATCATGACAATTTTTTTGAGGTTTGTTGATCAAGAATTGTACTTGGCAATATTTGAAAATGTAAGAAACTCCAGAATAATCAAAATCATGCTAAACATCATTTTTTGATATGGCTCCCTTGGCTATGGATATGGTGGTGTATTACCTTTTGCGACGTGCCTACTTGAGTTGTAAGCGAACTTGACATTTCCGAGTATTTGCTTAGGTCTATCTTTTGGAATGTAAGAAATTTTACAATTTGCACACAGATTGCATTATAAGTGAACGCATTACTAAGATCATTTGTGGGCTTGACGAGACGATTGGTGTCATTCTAGAGTATTTACAAGATGCCAAGGTAATAATATTTTTTTGTTGAATTTTTGGAGTTACTGTTGCTCATTTATTGACAGCAATGATTGTGCAGGATCATGGACAGAAAAAAGGAGACGATCTTCTTGCTTCGGTGCGGATTAGTGGAAGGTATGTTTATGTTCCCTGTTTTGCGCTTTTTATATCTATCTTTTTTCTCCTCTCCATTATGGATTTACAGCTAATCATGTTCAGCACAAGTTGATTTTTAGACAAGTGATAAGTTACAAAATTTAACAATGGTCTATCTGGCCCGTGGAATTGTCTGATGTCTGTATATATGTGGTGGAAGATAAATGAAGATAGAAATATCTTTTTGTAGGGTAGGGTTTTGACTCGTATATGCTGTCCAATTGCTTCTTTGCAGAAACTCGGGAATTTATTTAAGTAGGTTTGTCTATAAACCCCACAAACCGGGCTATTTAAACAATTCCTGTTTTGGCATACTGAATTAGCTGTATATCTCAAGTGTAAATACTGATTGAAGTCAAAATAAGATCTCTGATAAGCTGTTCTTTTTCAGCTATCTTGCAGAAGCACCCCATGCATGCAAAGAGAAAGTTAGGGAGCTTCTAGCGTATATGCTTTCCGTCGAAGGTGCAGACGAGCCGAGGTTTGACATCTTTCATAATGTTTTACAGAGCAGGTTTGCATTTCTATTCCTTTTGTGTGATACTTATATGTGGAACGTTTCTATATTGTTCAAATGGCAGCCCTTTTTACTCCATCTGCTTTTTGCTTCCAATGCTGTGTCAACTAACAATGGAGGTTGATGGATGCAAGTCTTTGGCTTCTTCAGGAGCATATAAAGCTGTAAGTCTATGATTGGAAAAATATGCTGCATTCTTTCTTCCCCCTATTTTCTTTTCATAGCATATTAATGATTTTAGGAATTGTTGTGCTTGTTGTTGTCCATCCTGATTACTGCTTGCTGAATTCTTTGAAGTTTCGTTTTTGTTAATTCTTAATTTTTTGACAGTGGCGTTGGAATAAGTTATTCTTCATTTCTAGTTAAAGCTTATACTGATATGTGAACGTACTAACTCTATCTGCAGGTTGTGGGATGCCTCATCAAATTGATTGGGCCAAGTTGTTGTAATGATGAGGACAATGTTTCCATATTCTTGGCTTGTGATACCATTTTGAGTTTTCTGTTGAAGGTGGTGTCATTTCTGCAGCATCTTAACAGATAATGTAATGTTTCCCAAAAGATGTTACTTAAATGTTTTGTTTCTTTCGTGGATAGAGGGAGCAAATACGATTTCCCTTGGATGATGCTAGTTTTGTGAAACTTCTGGCAGCATTATCTCATTGGGCAGGTATCCCTTCTGTCACTGCTTTAAATGTATTGATGTGTGCATTATTGTCCCATGCTAGTAATGAAAATGAGAGCTTAGTTGTTATTATTTTGTTTACTAGATGTACATAATCTTATTGTTCCATAATGCATATCTGAATCTCTGTAAATTACTTCTCCTAAAAGTAGCAATGTCGAACTGAAAGAGCAAATATATGTTATTTTTGTTACAGTGCTGTTCTTTTCTTTTTCCTTTCTAAAATTTATAATATTTTGAATGATGTGGTAGTATGTTTTTTCAAGGATGTCCAAACCAAACACATGTTGAATAGATAAGCATGGGTATGGGAAGTTGGAGTAATGATTAAAAGATGGACCCCTTGTGGTTCAAATGCTGGTCGCGTAGTGGAAATTAATGTGAGTTGCTCTAGGAATTTGAATTAAATCTTGTCTTGTTTTTCACTTTCTATAAAGACAATATATTTGTATGCTCCATTCATTCGAAGGCAAGGTTTGGATGAGTAGCAAGATAAAGTTATGGTTTGAAATAAATCTTAAGGTTTTTGATGGAACAGATTACTAGAATCCTTGTTAAATATGTGGCAAAGTAATCATCAAAGGGGCGGGTTTGCTTGTCTTCTTCTTGTTGGTACTGGCATTTGGTCTACTCAAATACATGTCACTAAAAAAAGCTAAAAAGAATATTGATTAACTCTGTCCCATACATAAGCTGCTACTGTTGCTGCAATCATAATTTGTACATTCATTTTCTTTTCATACAATTCGTGAGTTTGATTTTATTTTCTTTCCTCTTCACGATTTTTTGTGTAATTTTAGTTACCTTTCATGGGTTTTCTTCTCTTTTGTTCTCTGTCAGAATACTTAAGTCGTATAGTTGCCTTTATTCTCCATTTGCTCTCCTTTAGGGACTAGTTTGTGTTTCCAAAATTAGTAACTTTTGTTGTCCGATTGGTCTGAAGTAGTTGGAATGTCAGGCCTCCTTGCTCATCTAAGATGTACAGAGCACGTATTTCTGTCTCTTGATACTCTGCTAAAACACATGCCTCTATGAGGGATTTTGGTGGAGGGGCCTTGGTGTTTGCCTGAATGTCTCATCTACTAGGGAAGTGTATTACTGCCATCTGCTCAAGNGATGTACAGAGCACGTATTTCTGTCTCTTGATACTCTGCTAAAACACATGCCTCTAAGAGGGATTTTGGTGGAGGGGCCTTGGTGCTTGCCTGAATGTCTCATCTACTAGGAAAGTGTATTACTGCCATCTGCTCAGGNAACACATGCCTCTATGAGGGATTTTGGTGGAGGGGCCTTGGTGTTTGCCTGAATGTCTCATCTACTAGGGAAGTGTATTACTGCCATCTGCTCAAGCACCAAAAATCAAAGGGATGCCTCATGGATTTAATATCTTGATGCACATTGTATTCTTGCAATGTGTAGCTTGCAGAAAAGTGTAGCTCCTGGATTAGCTTTTATTTATATAGAATTATATTTCTCGATGTAAAGTAGAGTTTTATACCTCATAGTTTTAGGGTTTGTGAAAGAAAAGAAAAGAAAGGGAAAAAGAGAGTCTGAAAAGGAGACGAAAAATCAGTCCCTCATTCCTATCCTCCTCCCTATGAATATTAGGAAAAATTATATAAATACCCATTATTCTAATTTGTAGGCATTCCAACACTCCCCTCAAGCCGGTGCATGGATAATATACGTGCCCAGCTTGGCTAACATGCTATAAAACACCTTACTTGACACCCCTTTAGTCAAGACATTAGCTAGTTGTTCTTTAGTCTTCACAAAAGGAGTGCAAATAAGACCAAAACTTAGTTTTTCTTTAATGAAAAGCCAAACTGGGTTATTTGCCTATCAACTTGAATATGCTTGGTTTGATCCNAAACACCTTACTTGACACCCCTTTAGTCAAGACATTAGCTAGTTGTTCTTTAGTCTCCACAAAAGGAGTGCAAATAAGACCAAAACTTAGTTTTTTTTTAATGAAAAGCCAAACTGGGTTTTTTGCCTATCAACTTGAATATGCTTGGTTTGATCCTGCTGAACTAGAGGTTATTTGCAACATTGATGGCGACTTTGTTGTCACAATAAGGTCATATGGTATCACCCAAATCAACCCCAAGCTCTATCAGCATGGTCCGTAACCATAAAAGAGCTCACACACTCCATGTGCCATAGCTCTGAACTCGGTTTTGGCACCGNTTGATGGCGACTTTGTTGTCACAATAAGGTCATATGGTATCACCCAAATCAACCCCAAGCTCTATCTGCATGGTCCGTAACCACAAAAGAGCTCACACACTCCATGTGCCATAGCTCTGAACTCGGTTTTGGCACCGGATGTTGCAACTACACTGTCACTAGGTTTCCTCCCACAAGGGTACAATAGCCAGAAGTAGACTGCCTATCAGTGATTTATTTTGCCCAATCTTCATCTGTATATGATTCCACTCTCAAATGATTATGTCTATAAAACAATAGACCTCTCCTAGGTACTGACTTGAGATGTCGTAGAATTTTAAAGATTACTTCTAAATGGGATGACTGTGGAGANTCAGTGATTTATTTTGCCCAATCTTCATCTGTATATGATTCCACTCTCAAATGATTGTCTATAAAACAATCGACCTCTCCTAGGTACTGACTTGAGATGTCGTAGAATTTTAAAGATTACTTCTAAATGGGATGACCGTGGAAAGTGCATAAGTTAACTCACCACACTTACGGCATGGGCAATATCTGGTCGAGTATGTGGAAGAAAAATCAGCTTGCCAACAAGTTTCTAGTACCTGCCTATCTCAACCTTCTTGTCAGCACAATTCTCTCCTATCTTACGCTTGTAACCAAGCATTCCAGTCTCTTTCAGCAAGTTTAAGACATACTTCCGCTGAGAAATAAAGATTCCCTTACTTGATTTTGTGACTTCTATACTGAAGAAAATATTTCAAATCACCGAAGTCCTTTATCTCAAATTCCTTGGCTAAAGATACTTTCATAGCATCCACCTCTTCATTGTCATCACCAGTTATGACAATATCANCCAAGCATTCCAGTCTCTTTCAGCAAGTTTAAGACATACTTCCGCTGAGAAATAAATATTCCCTTACTTGATTTTGTGACTTCTATACTCAAGAAAATATTTCAAATCACCGAAGTCCTTTATCTCAAATTCCTTGGCTAAAGATACTTTCAAAGCATCCACCTCTTCATTGTCATCACCAGTTATGACAATATTATCTATAGTAGACTATAAGCACAGTAACCTTCCATTGTCTATGTCTGATAAAGAGAGTGTGATCAGCCTGACTGTGCTCTTGTTCTGCTTATATCCATACTTCCGCATAGTTCTACTAAATCTCTCAAACCAAGCACTATGAGATTGTTTCAAGCCCAAAAGGGACTTGCAGCATCCATATATACTTCCTCATCCAAGTCACCATGAAGAAAGACATTTCTCACATCCACTGGCCAAAGAGACCACCCTAAATTTGCTGCCAAGGAGAGCGACACTCTAATGGAATTCTTCTTGGCCACCAGTGAAAACATTTTCTGATAATCAATGCCATATGCTCTAGTGAAACCCTTGGCTACTAATCTAGCTTTATACCTTTCTATTGATCCATCTGCCTTACGCTTCACAGTAAGTTAAATACCCATTTATATCCAACTGTTTTTTTCCTTCAGGAAGAGCTACCAAGTCCCATGTATTATTCTTCTGAAGTGCTCTCATCTCTTCTACCATAGCTATCTTCCACTCAGAATCTTTCAGGGCATCTCTCCTATCATGTGGAATAGACGTAGAAGATAGAGAGGAGATAAAAGCATAGTAGGAAGGTGAGAGTGACTGATAGGACACGAAGTTTGAAGTAGGATGTTGAGTGCAAGATCGAACTCCCTTATGAACTGTAATGGGCAGGTCAGCATCATCAAAAGAAGAAGGGATATAATGAGCCATAGGAGAATGAGAAACATTACCTAGATCCAAAGAGAATCCAACTGACAGCATGAGAGGGATCAACTAGCTTATCCTTTTTTCTGCCGGAATAAGTTAACATCTCTCAAGTCCCTGCACCCTATTTCTCCTTGTCCAATTGATTGCTTGGGGTCTCACAAACTATGCTCTCAAACTATTGTACATGTTGAGGAATAGTAGGAGACTCAAAAGACAACTCTTTNTTCCCCCTATTTTCTTTTCATAGCATATTAATGATTTTAGGAATTGTTGTGCTTGGTGTTGTCCATCCTGATAACTGCTTGCTGAATTCTTTGAAGTTTCTTTTTTGTTAATTCTTAATTTTTTGACAGTGGCGTTGGAAGAAGTTATTCTTCATTTCTAGTTAAAGCTTATACTGATATGTGAACGTACTAACTCTATCTGCAGGTTGTGGGATGCCTCATCAAATTGATTGGGCCAAGTTGTTGTAATGATGAGGACAATGTTTCCATATTCTTGGCTTGTGATACCATTTTGAGTTTTCTGTTGAAGGTGGTGTCATTTCTGCAGCATCTTAACAGATAATGTAATGTTTCCCAAAAGATGTTACTTAAATGTTTTGTTTCTTTCGTGGATAGAGGGAGCAAATACGATTTCCCTTGGATGATGCTAGTTTTGTGAAACTTCTGGCAGCATTATCTCATTGGGCAGGTATCCCTTCTGTCACTGCTTTAAATGTATTGATGTGTGCATTATTGTCCCATGCTAGTAATGAAAATGAGAGCTTAGTTGTTATTATTTTGTTTACTAGATGTACGTAATCTTATTGTTCCATAATGCATATCTGAATCTCTGTAAATTACTTCTCCTAAAAGTAGCAATGTCGAACTGAAAGAGCAAATATATGTTATTTTTGTTACAGTGCTGTTCTTTTCTTTTTCCTTTCTAAAATTTATAATATTTTGAATGATGTGGTAGTATGTTTTTTCAAGGATGTCCAAACCAATGCACACATGTTGAATAGATAAGCATGGGTATGGGAAGTTGGAGTAATGATTAAAAGATGGACCCCTTGTGGTTCAAATGCTGGTCGCGTAGTGGAAATTAATGTGTTGCTCTAGGAATTTGAATTAAATCTTGTCTTGTTTTTCACTTTCTATAAAGACAATATATTTGTATGCTCCATTCATTCGAAGGCAAGGTTTGGATGAGTAGCAAGATAAAGTTATGGTTTGAAATAAATCTTTAAGGTTTTTGATGGAACAGATTACTAGAATCCTTGTTAAATATGTGGCAAAGTAATCATCAAAGGGGCGGGTTTGCTTGTCTTCTTCTTGTTGGTACTGGCATTTGGTCTACTCAAATACAGGTCACTAAAAAAAGCTAAAAAGAATATTGATTAACTCTGTCCCATACATAAGCTGCTACTGTTGCTGCAATCATAATTTGTACATTCATTTTCTTTTCATACAATTCTTGAGTTTGATTTTATTTTCTTTCCTCTTCACGATTTTTTGTGTAATTTTAGTTACCTTTCATGGGTTTTCTTCTCTTTTGTTCTCTGTCAGAATACTTAAGTCGTATAGTTGCCTTTATTCTCCATTTGCTCTCCTTTAGGGACTAGTTTGTGTTTCCAAAATTAGTAACTTTTGTTGTCCAATTGGTCTGAAGTAGTTGGAATGTCAGGCCTCCTTGCTCATCTAAGATGTACAGAGCACGTATTTCTGTCTCTTGATACTCTGCTAAAACACATGCCTCTATGAGGGATTTTGGTGGAGGGGCCTTGGTGTTTGCCTGAATGTCTCATCTACTAGGGAAGTGTATTACTGCCATCTGCTCAAGCACCAAAAATCAAAGGGATGCCTCATGGATTTAATATCTTGATGCACATTGTATTCTTGCAATGTGTAGCTTGCAGAAAAGTGTAGCTCCTGGATTATCTTTTATTTATATAGAATTATATTTCTCGATGTAAAGTAGAATTTTATACCTCATAGTTTTAGGGTTTGTGAAAGAAAAGAAAAGAAAGGGAAAAAGAGAGTCTGAAAAGGAGACGAAAAATCAGTCCCTCATTCCTATCCTCCTCCCTATGAATATTAGGAAAAATTATATAAATACCCATTATTCTAATTTGTAGGCATTCCAACACTCCCCTCAAGCCGGTGCATGGATAATATACGTGCCCAGCTTGGCTAACATGCTATAAAACACCTTACTTGACACCCCTTTAGTCAAGACATTAGCTAGTTGTTCTTTAGTCTCCACAAAAGGAGTGCAAATAAGACCAAAACTTAGTTTTTTTTTAATGAAAAGCCAAACTGGGTTTTTTGCCTATCAACTTGAATATGCTTGGTTTGATGCTGCTGAACTAGAGGTTATTTGCAACATTGATGGCGACTTTGTTGTCACAATAAGGTCATATGGTATCACCCAAATCAACCCCAAGCTCTATCAGCATGGTCCGTAACCATAAAAGAGCTCACACACTCCATGTGCCATAGCTCTGAACTCGGTTTTGGCACCGGATGTTGCAACTACACTGTCACTAGGTTTCCTCCCACAAGGGTACAATAGCCAGAAGTAGACTGCCTATCAGTGATTTATTTTGCCCAATCTTCATCTGTATATGATTCCACTCTCAAATGATTGTCTATAAAACAATCGACCTCTCCTAGGTACTGACTTGAGATGTCGTAGAATTTTAAAGATTACTTCTAAATGGGATGACCGTGGAAAGTGCATAAGTTAACTCACCACACTTACGGCATGGGCAATATCTGGTCGAGTATGTGGAAGAAAAATCAGCTTGCCAACAAGTTTCTAGTACCTGCCTATCTCAACCTTCTTGTCAGCACAATTCTCTCCTATCTTACGCTTGTAACCAAGCATTCCAGTCTCTTTCAGCAAGTTTAAGACATACTTCCGCTGAGAAATAAATATTCCCTTACTTGATTTTGTGACTTCTATACTCAAGAAAATATTTCAAATCACCGAAGTCCTTTATCTCAAATTCCTTGGCTAAAGATACTTTCAAAGCATCCACCTCTTCATTGTCATCACCAGTTATGACAATATTATCTATAGTAGACTATAAGCACAGTAACCTTCCATTGTCTATGTCTGATAAAGAGAGTGTGATCAGCCTGACTGTGCTCTTGTTCTGCTTATATCCATACTTCCGCATAGTTCTACTAAATCTCTCAAACCAAGCACTATGAGATTGTTTCAAGCCCAAAAGGGACTTGCAGCATGCATATATACTTCCTCGTCCAAGTCACCATGAAGAAAGACATTTCTCACATCCACTGGCCAAAGAGACCACCCTAAATTTGCTGCCAAGGAGAGCGACACTCTAATGGAATTCTTCTTGGCCACCAGTGAAAACATTTTCTGATAATCAATGCCATATGCTCTAGTGAAACCTTTGGCTACTAATCTAGCTTTATACCTTTCTATTGATCCATCTGCCTTACGCTTCACAGTAAGTTAAATACCCATTTATATCCAACTGTTTTTTTCCTTCAGGAAGAGCTACCAAGTCCCATGTATTATTCTTCTGAAGTGCTCTCATCTCTTCTACCATAGCTATCTTCCACTCAGAATCTTTCAGGGCATCTCTCCTATCATGTGGAATAGACGTAGAAGATAGAGAGGAGATAAAAGCATAGTAGGAAGGTGAGAGTGACTGATAGGACACGAAGTTTGAAGTAGGATGTTGAGTGCAAGATCGAACTCCCTTATGAACTGTAATGGGCAGGTCAGCATCATCAAAAGAAGAAGGGATATAATGAGCCATAGGAGAATGAGAAACATTACCTAGATCCAAAGAGAATCCAACTGACAGCATGAGAGGGATCAACTAGCTTATCCTTTTTTCTGCCGGAATAAGTTAACATCTCTCAAGTCCCTGCACCCTATTTCTCCTTGTCCAATTGATTGCTTGGGGTCTCACAAACTATGCTCTCAAACTATTGTACATGTTGAGGAATAGTAGGAGACTCAAAAGACAACTCTTTACTCCTAGGTTCCCCCTAAAGGGTAGTTTCGGACTTGAAAATAGGCTATGGACTCAAGAAAGGTAACATCTATATTGACAAAACTTCAACGAGTGGGAGGATGATAACAACAATACCCCTTCTGGGTTGGAGAATAACCCAAAAAAACACATTTTAGGGCCCTAGGATCAAGCTTACCCTAAGATTGGCCATGAACACGAACAAAGCAAACACAACTAAATACACGAGGGAGAATATGGAGACAAAGGATGGAAAACCCAAGACCTCAAGAGGAGACTTGACAGATAACACGCGAGAGGGCATACAATTGATGAGGTAGGTTCCGGTAAGAACGGTATCTCCCCAATTTTTTTTACATAGTGAACAAAAATGCACGAGTAACCTCTAACAAATGATGGTTCTTACGTCGTTAGACCTAAGTAGTTTAAATTTTGCATCAAACTGAGTAGAAATCATGCAATGAAATTTCTTAAAACATGAAAAGACCTCACTTTTGTCATGAAGCAAATACACCTTGGTAACACAAGGACAGTCATCAATAAATGTGACACACCATCGATAACCCAAAGAAGTAAGAATAGGTGACGGGCCCCACACATCAAAATGCATAATGAAAAATGGTGAAGTGCACTTATTTAAACTAGGAGGAAAAGAAACACGACTGTGCTTTGCAAGGTCACACACTTCACAATGAAAATGAGAAACATTCAACTTAAAAACAAGGCAGGAAATAGTTTTTGCAATAAATAAAAAGAGGGGTGGCCAAGACGCTGATACCATCAAACACCCTGCTCTGTAAATGGATCACCACCACAACTAGGCTTGTCGTTTCTCAAGAGGTCCAAGTGTAGTAGAATCCAAAAGGTAGAGACCACTCCTCTCACTACCAATGCCAATCGTCCTCTTCGTGTCCAGGCCTTGAAAAACACAACGAGTAGGAAAAAAAGGCACACTACATTCAAGGATTTGGTAATGCTACTAATAAATAAAAGGTTAGTAGAAAATTTAGGAACATATAGGACAGATGATAGGGACATCGATGGAGCAACTTAAATGGAGCCGTTACCAGAAATTGAGAATAAAGATTCATCTGCTATCCTAACTTTATCTTTGCCTGAACGAGTATTGTAAGAAGAGAACAAATTGGAAAACTTATCATGTGATCAGATGCCCCTGAATCAATGATCCAAGAGGGACTACTAGATATGGAAGAAGTCATGGATACTTGAGTGAGCGAATGCGGAAGTAGCAGTGGTAGTAGAAATAGGCTCCAATTGTGTCATGAGACATCAAAGGGACTTATTCTCCTCCTTAGAGAAACTTGGAGTCTTTGAAGTAGGAGCTAAAGACATCACAAGAAAGTCAACAGAAGTAGATGAGGATGAGACCTAGTCATTCCTCCACTGCTATCAACAGAAATAAGATGAGCATGAGACCTAGTCACTCCTCCACTGCGAATCCCTCTACCTCGCATAGGTCGACCGTGTAGCTTCCAACAACTCTCTTTAGTGTGTCTTGATTTGACACAATAGTCACAATCAAGTCTATCTTTGTCATCAGGAATAGGAGCAACAAAAGACAATTATCACGACCCTTAGTGATTCCTTTACCTACTTGCTGAGAAGCAGATGCAAGAGCAGATCTCTCATGAACTGATGATTGATGAATAACATTTCTTCTGTTGTCCTCACCTTGAACATAAGCAAACACCTGATTAAGAGAAGACAGTGGATCACGGCCTAAAATTTGAATGCGGATTGGATCAAACTCTGTATTCAGTCCAGCTAAGAACTCAAAAATACGCTCCTATTCCACCATCTTTTAGAATTTATGGGCATCCTCAGGATAATCAGCCTAAAACACCTGATACTGAAGCAACTCCTGCCATATCCCTCGCAAAAAAATGTGATAAGTTGCTAAAAACAGGGCTCTCTGCTTATGCTCATGGACTCTATGCTTCAAGTGATAAACTTGAGCAGCATTATGCATCTAGAAATAAGTCTGGGCAACAGCATCCCATATCTCCTTTGCTGTCCTCAATAACAAATAACCATTGCTGATCTCAGGTTGCATGGAATGAAGGAGTCAGGACGTAACAGTAGAGTTCTTCGCATCCCATTTAGCAAAAATGAGTATATACTCTTTGGTTCAGCAACACTGCCATCAATGTAGCCCATCTTCCATTTGCTCTTAATAAAGCAGAGTGCAGAATGGGACCACGCAAGATAATTAGTGCCATCAAGTTTAGTGACTTGTAGTGTAGGTTTCTGACTTTGGGTGCTAAATTGACCCAATACACCACTACCAGAGCTACAAGAATCTTGACTAACCTCTGACATATCGACACCACATGCCTAGAAGTCCAACATAACAATAACAACTCCAAAAAAATGATGCCACTGCCCCAAAAAATACTGCACAGTCAAGCGACTCAAGCCAATAGTGAAAACACTGCACATTCAAGCAAATAATGGAGAACTACCCCAAAAAATAACAACTCAGGTCTTGACTAATCTGAATATCTTCAACTACAATCAACCTAAATCCAAAAACAAGCAGAACAAGTATCAAAAGGACAAAAAAAGTCACCTGTACAGTGGAATATGCCACTGCCGACCACCCTGGAGCCACTTTTCTTAAACAAATCAGCTTTAATGGCCGTTCGGACCCCCTAGTGTTGATCGGTATAAAAACAACTCCCGCAGAAATTTATACATCACAGTTTTAGGGCTTGTGAAAGAAAAGAAAAGAAAGGGAAAAAGAGAGTTTGAAAAGAAGTGGAAAAATCAGTCCTTCATTCCTATCATCCTCTCTGTTTATGTTGGTAAGAATATTAGGAAAAATTGCATAAATACCCATTATGTAGGCATTCCAACAGTAACATTCTCTAGCCATTTTTTTTAATGTGGGGATTTTGTACATTTTTTTGTTAGCATTTGAAAATTATTGAAATTTTATGCATATTGTCTTCAGAGAAAACTGGTGATTCCTCTGTTATTATGATGGCTTCGAGCATTTGTGCACTGATACTTGACTCTACATCTGAAGAGGCTCTTCTATATCATCCTAACTTTGGCCGTGGCAATCTAATTAGTCTGTCTCATCTCATCATGAGAAGTTTGGCTAAATGTGGTCAGGTAACCTGCATCATGTTTGTTGAATCACATGATCCGCTTTTAGCTTCCCCCCCTTCCTCCCTCCCTCGTAAATAAGCTTGACTGTTAGCCATAAATATGATGTGTGCTTTACAGAAAGAAAAGAACTTGGTTTTTTATTTATTTTTTTGTGTGTTTTTTTTTTTTTTTTTGGGGGGGGGGGTGTTCAATGGCTTAATTACTGACTCATATTTAGACATAAATTTATGAGCTGTATAGTAAAGTCGGTTGACATTTGGATCATTTTCTGAAGTTGGTACGGATATGTACTTTTAGTGTTTTTCACCATCTATGTCAATCATGTGTGGGAAGGCCAATTAATGGGAAGCATTTAATGCTGCAACTTGATTATGATTGGTCAGATCAAGGTTCAATTCGATCGAAGCTTGAACTAGTATAGGTCACATTTTGATGGAATAATGCATCTCGTGGCATATTTTTCTTTTCCAATGAACTACTGCAGCGTCCATGGAGTAGTTACGAGTAAAATATCGTCGAGAGAAATTTAGAATAAAATAAAAGTAGTTGAATTTTTTGAAAATAACACGATTCTATCTAGGTGTTTGTATTTGTTAAACCAGTAATTCCAAATCGGATGGGCAGGGTCTTGTCAAAATTTTGTAGTTAAGGTTGTTATAGTACAGGAAAATGCTTGCATGATATTTTGCTCAATTTAACAATGATCATTAGTTTTGAAGCCTCACCTTTCCTGGGCTTCGGTTGACACTTCAATCTAAACCTAATCCTATGCTTACTTCAACACAAGCTTGGCTATGGTTACATTAGGTTCAGGTTTTGCTCGGTCCAACCCAACTGATTTACATCTAGAAACTTTTAAAAATATTTCTTTAGACATTTTGAAGTTTGAACCAACAAGTTGCTCCCTTTCTGAATCCAATTCAGGATATGGTGCCTGATGATGCTGAGGCAGAAGCAGATCTTCATGAGATTGTTACCTCAGGTATGTTGATCAATTTATGTTTTCGTGGAGGTTCTAATGTTTTCCTTGCATTTTCTAAATTTAATCATTATAGTTTTGAGGTGGTCTTCAGAAGTAGTTTAGTTAAATGGTGATTTGTTAACTGTGTGAAGGATATTCTCGTTGGGCTGATCGGTTTCCCCTCATCAAAGAGGCGGTGGAGAGATAGGCTGATCCTTCATGCCTTGAATGTGTTTGATTGGTGGTTACTGGAAGAGGTAGCTCAACTTGGGAAGTTCCTTTAATTGTACAACGTTCATTCTCTTTCAGAAAGGAAATTCTCTGTAAAAGCGCCCTCCGGTCAAGGAATTTGATTGACTTTCAGCATGAAAGAGCTAACCAGTTGGGCAGTGAAACTCTTCTAGCTGTTTCATCCAGTCTTCAGAACGAGACATCAAATGACGCCTTCCAAACAGATTACCGGGATGCAAATCATTCAGTCTCTCGTAAACACTCATCTGATGAGTCTTGATTCGCAGGCTCTCCTAATCACTCATTTGACGAGTCTTGAGAACGAGACATCAAATCTGCCTTACCGGCTTTCGTACTTTATTCTCTATCTCTCTCCCATACTCCCCTTCCCTCTAGAACAAGCAAAATAACCAACCCTCACAAGGTGCTGTGTTTTGTAATTAGCTGTGATGCTATTGATTCATATACCCAATTTGCACAGNTTGGGCAGGGTCTTGTCAAAATTTTGTAGTTAAGGTTGTGTTAGTACAGGAAAATGCTTGCATGATATTTTGCTCAATTTAACAATGATCATTAGTTTTGAAGCCTCACCTTTCCTTGGCTTCGGTTGACACTTCAATCTAAACCTAATCCTATGCTTACTTCAACACAAGCTTGGCTATGGTTACATTAGGTTCAGGTTTTGCTCGGTCCAACCCAACTGATTTACATCTAGAAACTTTTAAAAATATTTCTTTAGACATTTTGAAGTTTGAACCAACAAGTTGCTCCCTTTCTGAATCCAATTCAGGATATGGTGCCTGATGATGCTGAGGCAGAAGCAGATCTTCACGAGATTGTTACCTCAGGTATGTTGATCAATTTATGTTTTCATGGAGGTTCTAATGTTTTCCTTGCATTTTCTAAATTTAATCATTATAGTTTTGAGGTGGTCTTCAGAAGTAGTTTAGTTAAATGGTGATTTGTTAACTGTGTGAAGGATATTCTCGTTGGGCTGATCGGTTTCCCCACATCAAAGAGGCGGTGGAGAGATAGGCTGATCCTTCATGCCTTGAATGTGTTTGATTGGTGGTTACTGGAAGAGGTAGCTCAACTTGGGAAGTTCCTTTAATTGTACAACGTTCATTCTCTTTCAGAAAGGAAATTCTCTGTAAAAGCGCCCTCCGGTCAAGGAATTTGATTGACTTTCAGCATGAAAGAGCTAACCAGCTGGGCAGTGAAACTCTTCTAGCTGTTTCATCCAGTCTTCAGAACGAGACATCAAATGACGCCTTCCAAACAGATTACCGGGATGCAAATCATTAAGTCTCTCGTAAACACTCATCTGATGAGTCTTGATTCGCAGGCTCTCCTAATCACTCATTTGACGAGTCTTGAGAACGAGACATCAAATCTGCCTTACCGGCTTTCGTACTTTATTCTCTATCTCTCTCCCATACTCCCCTTCCCTCTAGAACAAGCAAAATAACCAACCCTCACAAGGTGCTGTGTTTTGTAATTAGCTGTGATGCTATTGATTCATATACCCAATTTGCACAGAATGATTCTCTGTTAGTGCTCCTAGGACAAAATGCATGTGGTTAAATGTATCGTATTAGTCTTTTTTTTTTTAACAATGCAGCAATGCTCTTTAAGAAATTTTGACCTTTTGAGGTTTGAAATCATTTCTAAACCTGTGCCAGGATCCATATAGCTGTACTATTTGACAGGAAGCTAATTGGTGAGGATGCTGGTACTCGGGGAGTATTTCTGGGTCTTAAAGCTTTGTTTCGATATATTAGAAACGAAGATGCAATGGATGGTTGCAAATGAAATGTGGGAATTGTCCAAATAAATTATTGCTTTAAGAACTTAGGAGATGAATCAGAAGGGGTTTGTTCCGGAAAGTTGATTGAATATTTGTACTCCTACGTTTTGAACAGCATGCAAATGCAATTATACATTACTGTTGTTCTAAAATCTGTTGGAATCGACAGATATATATCAATTGATAAACAATTCAAAAGTGTTTTTAGAACTTAAAGTATTTAAAAAAAAAAAATTAGTGTTTTAAACTAGCAAACCACCACCACCTCTCTCTGTCCCACCACTACCACCACCACCGTCACCCCACTACTACAATTACCGTCACCACCATCATTACTACCACCACTGTTATCGTTGCTATCATCATTATTGCTACTCCACCATCACCATCACCTTCACACCCACTGCCACCACCACCATTACCGCTGTCGATCACCAAAATTACCATAAAAACCACCATCCCCACCACCACCACCACTACCACTGTGCCACCCTACCACCACCATATGAACCCCACCATTAGCACTACCATCACCATCCCACCACCATCACTACTGTCACCGTCGTCTCTCCACCCCCACCAACGCCACCGTCATTGCCCCAACACCATCCTCATGCCACCTCCAATGTCACCCTATCACCATTGTCATCCACTACTGATTGCTATTATCGTCGTCAACCACCACTAACTATCACCATTATCATCTCATTCTTATACTTATACCATCGTTCCACTATCATCATCATCCCACTACCACCATTGTTGTCCACCATTACACAATATTGCAACCCACCACCAACTATCGTCGCCCACCATTATCATTAACCACTGTTACCTATCCCCACCACACTTACCACCACCACCGTAATTTGTCACCATCCATCACATTGCCGCCTAGAAGCACTCGTCATTGTTCACCACCATCATCGTCACTGCCCACCACCACTACCATCTTCACCCCACCACCACTGCCACTACCAACCACCATCACTGTCGCCCACCACCACCACCGTCGTCACTTATAGCTGCCATTACCATCATCTTCACCCAAAATACACCACAACCATCACTATCTCCCACCACCATCACCACCACCACCACCATTATCGCCCACCATCACTACCACCTCTCACCCGCACTACAATCGGTGCTTGAATTATGTTTTATCTCCTCTATGTTTGTAATTTAATTTTGAGTGTGAATACAAATATATTTATTGTTAATCACTTTTTTATTCCTCGGTATTTTCAGACACGGATAATAACTAGTATATAAATAAAGTATCCATTTTTAAATCATACGAAGGTTGTATTATACATAAAGTACAATACAATTCAAATTTTAAAAAATAAATAAAATAAATTTTATTTTTTGTGGTTGAAATTTCTTTGACTTTTACTTTAAAGTTAATTAGATGACTAATATTAACACCTTAAATTTAATAAGAAAAATAGGGCGTTAAGGATGTGTTTGAGGTGACTTTTTAAAAATATTTTTAGTACTTATAACTTATAAATACTTTAAAAAAATAATTTTCTGCCTCAACACTACCACCCCATCACTACAACTACACCCCACCACCCCCACCATCACCACTACCATCATCACCACCATCGCCGCCATTCCATCACTACCTTTGCCATGACAACCACCACCACTATCGCCACCCCACTGCCACCACCACACCCACCATCACCACCGTTGTCGCCACCCTACCACTCCCACTGCCACCACCATTACCACCACCACCACCGAAACCACCCTACCACCATCTTTATCACAACAACCATTACTACCACCCCCATCCCCATCACCCTCATCCCATTCCCGCTGCCCCACTGCCACCCCTCCCCCACCACCACCATTGCTACACACACGAATTGCTTTCACTATCGTCCACCGCCACCACCCATAACTATCGTCATTTTATTCTTATATTTATTACCACTACCATCATCATCCCACTATCACTGTCGCCTACCGTTAGTACCCACCACCACCATTGTTGCCCAGCACCACCCGCTATTATAAAACCCGGGTAAATTTAAACTTTTATAAAAAAATATGGCAAATCAGTAATTTGTCACTACAGTACAGGTTGAAAACTTAAATTTTTTTAGAACTTGAATGACGAAACATACCTCACTGTTGGATTCGTCTCACGAAATTTAATTATCTAGTCAATTTTTATCGAATTTTGAGACAGTCAAATTTTCATGTTTTACGAGACAATCGAGGGTCGCGTGACCTAAAAATGAGATGTGAAATAAAATTTTGAAAGTTGAAAAATAATTTAAAGGAAGTTCATATAAAAATATTTTTGAACTTTAACCAGGACAAAGTTTAATCGTTTTGGGACAAAAATTAAACCCAAAAAATGGAGGACGCGTGACGCAACGAGGGCCAAGCATTTCAAATGGGGCATAAATAGGGGAGAAAATCAGATTTTCTCCCCAAATTTTGGCTGAGTTTAGTTGGAGAGAGGAAGAGAGGGAAAAAAGAGAAAAACTCCAACTTTTCTCCACGATCTATGGAGTTCCTTTGGTCAGAATCCTTCGGGTTAAGTATTAAAGTTGATCTACACGACAAGGGCTACACTTTCATATCAAAAAGGATGGATTTCACCAAAATTTTCGAGACGAGATTTTGAAAAATCAAGGGTTTGATCTTGGGTTGTATTCTTGAAGGTTCTACCGTTGCTTTTACTCTTCAAGATGTAGAGTTTTCTCCCTAATTAGGCTTATTTCCAACCTAGGAGGATTATATGGAATGGGTAGGGTGTTAAAGGTATATAACACTTACCTATTGTTGTTAATTTGATGAACTAGGTACTGAAAATGGGTAAAATCAATTCTAGCTTAAATTGGTATTTAAAAATTGCTAGCTTGTAATTTTTTTGAAAAATTATGATATGTGGCATGCTATGTGTTTATATTATGCCTTGGAGAATTATGTGTGTTAATTGCATGAGATTACGTGATAATATGCTTGAAAATTATTGTTGGGTATAATGTTGATACATGTTTGGTGATGTATTGCCATTAAGATGATTTATAGTAATTATATGCATATGATATAATTGGCCATGAAATATATTGAAATGTGGTTGAAATGGTTCATACGACACTCATAACATATTGAACATGAAATTAGTGTTGCAATTGTACATTTACATTGCATATACACGGGTAGCATCACATTCGTGAGCGTTTGACATTAGTGTAGGTGTGTGTATGCATGGTTGATCAAACACCATTCTTGGTGGATGATTCGTGGGCTCAGGATAATTTGACCGAAGTTCGACTGAGTCACACGGTTTGCATTGAAAATTGGGTTAGGGTTAGCAAGAAGAGCTGGATTGTCCCTCAGATGCAAGACCCGGTGATTCAGATACGCATTCCGTTGGTATTGAGTCCATAAAGTGTGTCAGCGTACGCAAAGTCGTTGATGGAAGTCCATTAATGTCGTGTCGGTTGGGTGCCTATTGGTATGAGTCCATAAAGAGGACGTGGTCGAAGAGGTGAACGGAACAACAACCAACCACCACCGGCCTTTGACCAACAAGACTTTATGGAGGCTATTGGCACTATGACAGCTACCTTTGCACAAGCTAGTGCCAATGTGGGCCAAAGAGGCTCAAGTAACCTCCAAAAGTTTAAGACACACAAACCATTGACTTTTATGGGAGGGGAGAATTTGATAGTGCTCGACCATTGATTCCAACAAGTCAACAAGATCTTAGAGACTATGGAGATCACTTCTAACACCACTAAGATAAGGCTAGTTGTATTCTAGCTAGAAGGAGAGGCCCATCATGTGTGAGGGATTTGTGCTTAGAGGTTGAGACCTTGGAAGAACCATTGCATGTGAATTCTCCCCTAGGAGTCATGGTATGTATTGATCAGATATGTCGGGAATTGTGAATTAGAGATTTAAGGAATTCTACTCACCGTGGACCTTAGGGTCATGAACATGTCAGAGTTTAATATCATCCTTGGGATGGACTGGTTGACAGCACACCAAGTTATCATTGATTGTAATCAAAAGAGGGTCACTGTCTACACACTGGAGGTGTTTGTTTCAAGTTTTAGGGGGAGAAACATGATATTTTACCCCAAGTGATGTATGATTCCCGTTGGCACAAGCAGTTGATGGGCTGACTTGCGAGCCTTGCCCAAGAGGACGAGGCAAGACAGAAGTTAGGTCTACCTCGAGTGGTTTATGAGTA